TTGTGAGGTAAAAAGAGGCATATTTTTTGAAGGTGACTGTCTAGCAGATTCTCTTTTACTGGCATGGGAAAAGTAAGTCCTAAAAGGCTTCAAAACAATAAAGACCAGCCCTAAAAAGCAAACAAATATTAAACATAAAATAAAAATCCCTTCTCTATGGACCTGATACCCATGATGTCCATGAATATAGACTCATCTACCAATATGCAGTTCCTTCAAAGAGACGGGTGTGATAGTCCAGTGTTTGTTGGAACCAGGTAGCTTGTTGCCTGATTTAGGTGATGCTTGTTTCCATCTGAACTGAGGTGTTAGTGTAAGAACAACAAGAGTTGATGGTCATGCAAATTCCTTGTTCTGTTAGTATGTAGTCTAAGGTAAGTTGATTATCTAAAACAGCTCTGGCTAGAGAGTCCAGAGATTTCTGAATATTACGAAGTGAAATGTCAATTTCATTGACTACAGTGATTTAAGTCTTGGACACATTCTGAAGTACTTACCAATGTGCAGCTGCTCCCTGGCAGGGTGATACAGCACATCTAAAGAAATATCCATCATCTTGTATTTCTCTGGGAAGATCTTGAGCCATTTGTGTGCATGTTGATTGACCACTCGGTAGTCCCATCTGCCTGAAAAGTTTTAATGACTTGCTTGTGAATCTCAGGAAGGAGCACGTCTCCTCTCTGTCCCATGAATAAGCTAAAAAACCTTGGAGATGTGGTACATGCTCCCGTGGGACCTGAGAGGATGTTGTTTCCTTTCAGGAGAAAAAAAAGTGTATTGGGTTGGCAATTTATAGAACAAGACCTCTTCCAGCAGAAGAATGGAGTATCCATACAAACAGAGAAAGTGGTGTGATGACTTTAATCTCTGATTTGACATTTAGTGACTTGAGGTGTGCTTGTTGTTGCATTTATCTCATTACCCCTTTCACCAGTACTGAGTTTTCATAGTCAGTTTGATGTTTTAAACAGACTACATGTGTCCCAAGTATATCTTTGGCTCCCGTGAAGAAACAATGTTGTTTTGGAAGGTATCTACAGGAGACCCTGGGTCCTCTCATGGAGGTGAGGACCTCCATTATCCTAGTCAACATGCCTGTCTTCCATCTGCCTATATGCCCCTTTTTACTCATTTGTCTTCACATGACTGCTGCCAGGCACCTGAGATTTCAGTCTTGTGGGCCATTGATCCCTGGCCTCTCGTTCTTGCTGTGATTTTGTCTAACTCACTACTCTCTTTCCAGCTCAAGAATTTTGACTTTGAGTCCTTTTAGAAAAAAAATGGTGCCAGATTATTCCTGCAACTGCTTTCTGCCGAAGAGAGATGACATTTTTCTTCAGAGCCAAGAAATCCTTGCTCTCATAGGGGTGGTGTGGCCTGGGAAAAGACAAAGGTGCAGATGGTGCCTGGAAGTGGTGCTCCCTGAGTAGGAGTGGAGCTTTAATATGGAGGAGTCAAATTGTGTGACTAATCTCAATGTTACTGAAGAAACCAGAAAAAGTAGGATCTAGTTATGTTTATAAGTTTAAAAAAAAATTGAAGGCAATTCACTTAACTAGAGTTTAATGTCCATAAATGTATGGTACAGAATCTATTGAACGATAAATTCTCTACATAGATTCACACTCATTTTTTTCAAAAAGCCAAATAAAGGATGATTCATTTAAAGCATTAAGTTTCAATTCTGCCTAATTATTTGCCTAAACATAACAGGAATAACAATTGACTCTCTTAAATATGTAGGCTCTTAAATGCTTTGCTGGGCTCTTATAAGAAATTGCCAGGATGAGATTTAATTCACCCCATTAAAGGAGGAAGTCAAGCCACATTGTTGCTATTAGGTTTTACCTGGTACACCTGTAACTTTTAGTGAGTTCCTTAAGTTCATTGGGTCTTCCAAAATGGCCTGAGCTCTCCCCTGTGATCTCCCAGGAAATCAGTCTTCACTTCTTGCCTGGAAATACTGCCATGGATGTTCGGAATAAGTAAGGTACAAGGCCGTTTCTCTAAGTTGCTTTTATTAGCTTCAAAGTCATTCTGCATTTCTTAAAGCTTTTGCTGACATCCAGAGTCTAGGCAGGTCTCTCTTGGACATGACATTCCAGTCACAGTCTTAATAGATAAAATCACAACTGATAAATGGCTTTATCTGTCCTATTATGAATAAATCAGGTTCCTGCTTGATTTATTCAAACTACTATACTGCACAGAAATAATCATATTCATTCATAAGTCTTTCCAAATTCCAGAAGGATCAAACAGGGGCAATATGTGAATTCCTATATATTTATGATTAAAGTATAATTTACCAAACTACTTTAAGAAAAATGGTAGGTGTCTTATGTCTGAAAAATAACGTGATTAACAATTATCAATATGTTCAGCAACAGTTACAAAACTACAGTAGTCTTCAGTTCATGTTGCCCCATAATCACTTTTTGTGCTGTTTATTGGCCAGTATTTCTATAAATCCAGTTATTCCATAGAGTTCAGTTATCTTTAACTGTTCAAAAATATGATCTGAAAATTTTATTCTCAGAAATATGGAATATCCAAGAAGTCATAGTCTTTTGCATGGTTATCTCTGAAGAACTAACATATTTGTGAATGCATCAAACTGTGCCTAAGGGAGGCAGTTTCCCATAACCTTTAGTACAGGTCAGACAAACAGTGTTCTCATAGCCCTGAGACTGTGTCTGATAAATGGTTCCCATAGCCTTGAGTGGGCCTGCATGCACACAATGCAGCTCTGTTTTACAATCTGTTGGCTTCTGGGTGGCTTTGTCTATATTTGAGTATACAATGGAGTAGGAACTTCATGCTGGGCACACAGAGAGAGAGCAGGAGACACACAAGTGTCATTCAGGGACAAGCAGAGAGACACACAGCTAGCAGTGTGTGTGGATTGCCAACCTTTGAATAAAGGCATGTAACACATATGAACATTTCCACAATTTCCATATGCCTAAATCCCATGAACCCATCTGACATTGAATGGTTGCAACACATCATGTGTTAGATGCGTGTGTGAGGACAAGGAGAGAGGGTGAGTCATGTCCTAAGAGGGTGAAGAACATTTCAAAGATGCAGATGACTCTTTAAAGGTGATGCAAATTGTGTGGTATGACATTAGTTCCCATCACTCTCTGACTCAAGGTGTCACAAGGATGAAGATGGAGATGCACAATTGTCCATGACACTCATAAGACACAGGACCATGCTGCACAGTGTGGACCCTCCTTTCTCAGGAAACACTTTGTCCCCATGAATTGCCTCTGCTCTGTGTCCCTGAGTCAGGTACCCAACACTTCGCTCTGCTCTCACCTGATATGGGAGTGAGACAAATGACAAGACCTTCAACTGGTTCCTCTTATCTGGGGTCATGGTATCTAAATCTCTTTGAAAACTGAGATGCAGAGATGCCCGAGTTCACCTGGAATACATCTCTGGGGAGCATTGCAGGGACAGGTGATGGAGAGGAGGACATGTCCAGACTGAGAGACCCCAAAGCTAGGTCATCACAGGGCAGCCCTGGCCATGGAGGGGGACTCAGTATCCTCCCTCACATTGGGACAGGGGACAGGAGTGAGTTACAGAGCACAGCTGTCCGTTGCAGCAGTGGTGTGCTTCTCAGTGAAAGAGTTGTTGTCACTGCTTCTCTTCCTAGGAATCCACCTCACTGTCCTTCATGCTGGTCACTGTTGGTCAGTACCCAGGGCTCCTCAAAGCTGTCCCCCAGCACTTTCAAGGCATTGGTGCCATCCCCAACACAGGCGTCACCTTGGTTCCATGTGGCTGCACCAACCCCTCACTCTCAGTGCTCCTGTCAACAAAGGAGCAGTTTCCCTAGAACTTTATCACCTACAGAAATCTCAGGTTTGGCTCATGGGTGTCCTCAGTCTGTCAGATGTGCCTCAGTCCTCACTTTGTCCTATTAAATGATGGGACTGTAGTGGGAATGTTCTGTGTATAGAGGGTGAGTGAGACTCGGGGAACTAAACGTGGTTTCAATTGTTCACCAGGCAGTTAAATCGAATCATGCATTTCCACTCATTTTTTTTAATCTAATGAAAGATTCTCCTCGTCTGCACTTTGTTTTCACTCCATATGTAACCTTGGCCCATCATGAGTTCCAGTCCTCTTCCCAGGACATCAGCCTCCAGATACTCACTCCAGGGCCTCAGGTGAATGGGGGAAGGAAGGTTCCAAGCTGGTTCCCTATGACTAGGAGTTGAGTTAGATAATTCACACACATCTCAGAACCCCTGGTGGCAGATTCAGTACCTGTGTCTCTGGGAGAAGGTGATCCCTGGGTTTCAGAGCCTCAGTTGGTCTAGGAACACTGGACACCTTCTGAATGGCTCACCTGAGGGAAACAGCTGCACTGCCCTGGGGGAAGTGATCCTAAAGGAAGGACCCAGCATGTGTAGCACCTGTGACAGTTGCAGGCCCAGGGCTGGACTCTGGGCATTGGGCCCTTACCAGAGTGCCCTGTTCCCTGCAGCCGGACTGAGTTGCAGAGGCTGCACCTGCACCATCACCTACAGGCCCTGGACACCTCATCCTGGTGAAATGAAAGGCTCTTCTTCACTTTGTAATAATTACCACATGAAATATTATTTTACATTAAATTATGATAATCCAGTCTGAAAATGATGAGTCTACTTCATGTCATTCCTAGGACTGGGAAGATGTTTGGGAATAATGTTAATCAGTTTCTTTATCCACAAAATTAAAATAGTGTGACCCTCTCATCTTGATCAACATTAATTTTTAAACATAGAAAAATGTGTAGTGTCTTGCCCTGAGTTCAAGGCATCTCATAAAATAACTTGTCTCCCATGCCTAACCAAATGCCATCAAGTCCAAAAGAAGAAATGTGCTCAGAACCCAGAAGTACATAGGGCAGTGACCTCAGTCCTTCCCCACTTATGAGAACAGAGCCCCCCCACATGCAAATTTATCTCCCAGCTGCAGGATACATCCTCCCCTGAGCTGTGGGGGCTCACAGCTCTCTCCTCACCCAGGGCAGAAATCTCTGGGGAAGGTAGAACTGTGCTCTAGAAGAAGATGAGACTGTTGGGTCTTCTCCTGTGCCTGGTGACAGCCCCCCAGGGTGAGTGTCTTGGGTGTCAGATGTATGTCTATGGGACAGTGGAGAATGCACAAGACTGACAGGATCTCATATTCCTTGTCCTCAGGTGTCCGCTCCGAGGTGCAGCTGCAGGAGTCGGGCCCAGGACTGGTGAAGCCCTCACAGACCCTCTCCCTCACCTGCACAGTCTCTGGTTACTCCATCACCAGTGGTTACGTATGGAGCTGGATCCGCCAGTTCCCAGGGAGGGGGCTGGAGTGGATTGGGTACATAAGTTATAGTGGAAGTGCTTACTACAGCCCGTCCCTCAAGAGCCGCACCTCCATCTCCAGAGACACGTCCAAGAACCAGTTCTCCCTGCAGCTGACTTCCATGACCACCGAGGATACAGCTGTGTATTACTGTGCCAGAGACACAGTGAGAGGAAATAAATAGGAGCCAAGACACAAACCTCCCATCTGGAGACAGGAGGGCTTTGCTGCAGGGGGACCTCAGGACACCAGGGGGCGCTCACGTAGCATGCAACACAGAGGAAGACAGCACTGACCCTGGCCAACAGAATCTAACATCCCTAGGACCACTTTTCTGAGTCCCCTCTTCCTGCATCAGACCCTGCTTGTGCTCCTGGGGAGACACCGATGCAGTGATCCCATGGTTCAGACCTCGGGGCTCCTGGCTGTGAGATCTGAGAATGTGGGCCTATGGACTGCAGGTCAGTGAGACTCCCTCCACAAGTCAGGCCAGAGTTGTCTATACTGATTGGACAAGGTATTCTTGAACTGCCCCCCCACCAAGACAAACCAGGACCTTCTCACCATGAACTTTACAGGTTCCAGGTGCTGGGAGAATAGGAACAACCAGGATGGGCAGTCTCCAGTCTTCACATCAATTGTGTTTGTTTCTGTTCTTGTAGTCAAAGTAGGTCACTCCCTCAGTTAGAAATTGAGTGGGAATCCTGTCCATGTACTAGGTAGAGAGGAGACAAGAGACCTGCAGGTAATTACCATGAAAATTGTGTGTGTGTGTGTGCATGTGCATGTGTGTGTGTGTGTGTGTGTGTGTGTGAGACTTGTTGATCAGTACTAGTGCAATGGAATTAGGACCCCATGCAAGGACACTCAGATGGGACCTTCAAGCAGAAGAACCTGAGGACATCAACTCTGAAACCCTCTGAGATCTTCTGGATTCAAAGGTGTTGGCTGAGTCGGTCCATCTGGCATGTCCAGCAAAGAGGCTCCCTGGTTGCTTCACAGTCCCTGGTGTAGGGGCTCCCTGCAGAATCACTGGGGTTTAGAAAGACTAAACGCCATGTATGCTTAGATGTCTAAACACATGGTGCCCCAGAGGGAGTATCCTAAAATCATAATGTAACTTTGAATTCTAAACTAGAGGTGCTGACAGCTTATGTCCTGTGAGCCCAGACAGGACCTTTCCCTGTGGGGCATGGACTGGGCGGCAGGGGGCACATGGGACCAGTTATCTCAGGGCTTCTGCCCCAGGACCAGGTGGAGAGGGGGCATGGGAGGTATTTCTAATGAGGGCCTGAGTCTTCCTTTTTTCATGAAAACATCTAAAATGAGGGGTAGGCATGAGGTGACTGTAAATATCCTATTCTATCAGAGAATGTATTATACTCAATAAGACAAGAGAACCACAGTCAATGGGAGTAATTCAAGGACGTCTTTATATCTTAATGTTAAGGAGCTGAAAACAGGGATGGCCTTTTAAATTTATCCAGTGCTGCATTCTGGAGACACACTGATTCAGGAATAAGACATTAGGCATTAAAAACCAGAACTGGTCCAGGAGGACTCTGTTACACTCAAATGTGTTTCTCTATGAGGAGCATGTCCTGTTGGGGCCTGTTCCTCAGTGGGAGGAGCACAGAGCATGTCCTGTGGGGGCCTGTTCCTCAGTGGGAGGGGCTGTATCTGCACAGAGTTCAGGGTCCTGGCAGGGGTCATACATCTGATAACATTAACTTGGACTTAGACTCTGAGTTTCCCACTCAGCATGGTCCCTGTGTCCTCGACCTTCTCTCAGGTGAAGAGAAATATTAAGCTGTGAAACACTCTGCCTCATGGCTATGCAATGAGAAGAGGTAGACTACATTTAACACGTGTCTCTCTGTGTCCTGATATCATCACCGACAGCCACACCCTCTCCTATACAAGACCTGATGGCACAGCCCCTCACCATGGACTGGAGCTGGACAGCCATCTCCATGGTGGCTGTGGCTACTGGTATGGGACTCCTTAGCTCCAGGGTCAGGGATGGGGCAAAAGAATCTCAAGAGGGATTTCCTCCCACTCCAACCTCTTCTCCACAGGTATCTACTCCCAGCTGCAGCTGGTGCAGTCTGGGGCTGTGGTGAGGAAGCCTGGGGCCTCAGTGGAGGTCTCGTTCAAGGCCTCTGGATACATGATCACCAACTAAGCTACATTCTGGGTGAGACAATTCCCAGGAGATGGTCTGCAATACATTGTCCAGATCAATACAAAGAGTGGGGAGCACATGTATGCCCAGTGCTTCTCAGAACAAGTTTTCTCCTGTATGGAAACCTCTGCCAGCATAGTCAATCTGCATGCAAACGATCTGAAGTCATGGACACAGCCATGCATTACTATGCAAGTGACACAGTGTGATGACCCACAACCTCAGTGTGTCACAAACACTGAGAACTGGGACAGCTTGTCTGGGCTGAAGGGATGACAGGATGATGGACCACTTGACTTGCTGAAACACATTCAGAAATCTGGGACCAGAAAAGTTGCTTCCAGAGGCACATCCGACTCAAGGAAAGTTTTCAAGAGACCAGATGCACTATGAGAGGGATACATGGAATACACTCCTGAAATAATCCCTGTTATTTTTTGTGTGTGTGTGTGATTGTGCAGAGAACACATTTGGAGCCTCCTTGTCCTCTGAATGAAACACTTCATTGAGACATCATCTGGGAATCCTTGGTCAGGGTCATGTTTGGGGATTCAAACGAGGTGTCTTCCTAGCAAGTTCTAGGACACTTTTTAAAAATTTTCTGAACAATGGAATTGTGCTTGGAGAAAAGTGAGTACATAAGTAAAGGAGAAATTTCTGATTTTCCTTCTGACCAAGCATCTAGAACTGACCTTTGGCAGCCAAGTCAAGGGTTGACTGGTATTCCAAGTCCCAACACTGTTCATGACATCACAGCGTTCTTTCTGTCCTCACTCATGGTGAGATAATAAGGAATCCCCTCATTTGAGACTACACTACATCCCTGTGAATGTCCCTGTCTCTGGGCAAGTATTAATGCAATCTCATAGCAGAGAGCAGGGTGGGAACATCATTGACAATGGAGATCCACATCCAACCTGCACTATGTCCCTATGTCAACTGAAACACTTATCACACACTTAGCACTGCAATCTGCACACATTTATCCTTGTGCATTCTGGAGGTCAGAGTGAATGTGTCATCTCAAATGAGGTGTATGCACCATTTATGGTAATTCATCCCAATGCAAGACACTACTTTTTCCACTTAGAACATTGATACGATCATTTAGGGTTCAAGTTCAGTAGATGACCATCATGTGTGGGCATGGTGACAGACTCACATGGGTCACATGCAGACATAAACCGGACTGTTAGAGAGAGGAGATGGTTCTTATGAAATTAACTGTCAAAGAAACAAGGCCTCAACACAAAGCTTCTCCTGCTCCCTGATGAAAGCTACATCACAAGTCCATATAAACACAGATCTTGAGGATGAGCAGTATGCTGATCCCGCAATGATAAACAGTTTAATATAAAGTTATATCCACAAGCTCTAGTAATGGGATTTTTTTTAATGATTTGTCCATCCTATAATCAATGGATTAATAAAAATAATGCTCTCCATGCCAATTATGATTTTATTTATGTCTGTCAGTTTCTATCAGAGTTTTGCATCAAAGTTTTCCATAAACTGATTTCTAAAATTTCAACATATTTACTCATCACTTTCTAAGTAAATCATCACATAAGCAGACTTAGTCATGACTGACTTCCTTCAATGTCATAAAAGTTTGAACCTGCTTTTAACACAGAAATTAGGAAATAAGTACAAAAATGAGGCAGTGAAGATGCTACACAGTCAGCACAAGACTCATCTGAAGAAACATCCCAGGTAGCACTGTCTGCTTCTCTGAAGTGGTCACACTTCTGTCTCCCAATGATCCACACAGATATTCCACCTCCTACAACACTGGGTCCATGTGTTCTAGGGTCACACTCTCTCCTTAGTTTGTACTCTGATTTCTGTGTAGAGGAACTATGGACAGATTGAGATTTCCGTGACCCGAACTGGAACCTCCTGCATTTTAATGCTCTCTGTGGTCAGAAGCATTTCATTGCCCTTATATGTTTATAACTGGTGGCTTTCAAAGGCCTTTATCTTTTTAAATACCTCTGTTTTATGAAGATTTACTCTCCTTGGTCATATACACTTCTTATGGACCTGTCGGGCCAGTGAGGATGGCACAGGGTCAAATGTGGGGAATAATTGTTGATAAACACCCTTAGACATGTCAAACACTAGGACCATGGCATTCATGTCACCATCCAACCCAAGAGCTCCCTATATAGTATGAGGACATGCAAATAGGGCCCCTATGCTCATGAAAAAGAGCCCAGCCCTAATCCTGCAGCTCTGGGATAGGGTGCCATTCCAGAATTCCCAGGTGTTCATAGTTCCTGATCAGGACAAAACACAGATGACTCACATGGACTTTGGGCTCAATTGGGTTTTCCTTTCTGCTATTTTAAAAGGTAAATTATGGATAACCAGAGTCACTGAGTATGTGAATGGATATAACTGAGAGGAACAGTGGAAGTGTAACAGTTTCCTGACATGATGGTCATTTGTTTGCAGGTATCCAGTGTGAGGTGCAGTTGGTGGAGTCTGGGGGACTTTGTGACACGTGGAGGTGTCTGAGACACTCTTGCACAGCCTCTGGGTTCATCTTTGGTAGGTAATGGGTGACCTGAGTCCTCCAGGCTCCAGGGAAGGGACTAGAGTGCATGTGTAGTATAAAAACTGATGGAAGTAAAACATACTATGGCAGCTCTGTGAGGAACTGATCCACCATCTCCAGAGACAAGGGCAAGAACACACTTTACCTGCAAATGAACAGCCTGAGAACTGAGGACACAGCTGTGTATTACTGTGTGACAGACACAGTGATGGGACGTCAGCATAGACCCAGACACAAACCTACCTGCAGGAGGGTCTGGGACCACCTGGAGGCACTCCAGGTCTCTGAACACAAGGGGAATACCAGGAGCAGGCCCAGTTAGAGGCTTTGCCTGGATTCCTGTGTGGTTTCCTATTCCTGTAACAGTTTCCTTCAGTGAACCTCTCTGGATTCTTGATTCTGCTCTGAAGGCTGAAGTCACTGAGTGAGAACGTCTATTGTAAGGAAAGACAAAATTATTTCATAGACAAAAGGCAGAGTCTTTTTTCAGACAGCCTTGTGCCCTATTACAATGAATTACCAACCTTCTGACCAATGTCAGGCATTCTCACCAGAGCCTATGCTGTACCTAACCATACTGCCCAGCCCCACACACAGCTCAGTGCCCAAGCCATCCAGCAGCAGGACAACAGATACCAGAGGCCTATGAACTGAATTCCGGAGGAGAAATACAAACTGTGATTTTGACCATAGACTTGGCATCATGCTCTCAGCACCAAGCGTAGATGAGACCACACAGAGGCAGAGGGACCAGTGACAGCTTGGTATGGATGTCCAAGCTTATGACAAACACTGACCAAGGGAACATGGAGTATTCATGCAGCACAATGTTGAAATGCCTGGCAGGGTCAGGAAAGGCCCTTCAGTAAGTCAGATTATTATAGTAACTCCTGGTTAGCAGTCCCCAGTTTCTTTGCTGAGGTATGAGTCACAGGCAAATGATACTAGGACAAGGTTCTCCATGGGACTCTCTAATAAAATGACAGGATATCCAGATTTTTCCTATTAAAGATAAAACATGTGAACCCATGTCTGGAAATCACCCATGTCTCCTGCCTGTCTCACTCTGCACCACACCCCTGTCTTACCCTCCCTGGAATTTGGAATAATTCTCTCCTTCCTTTTCAGTCCCATTTGACTTTCTATTGGGTTGGCCAAAAATTCTGTGAGTTTTTTTTTGTATAAAATTAAAAAAAAGCATGTTATTAATTTATACCAATAACATTACTGTTTTCGATATTTTGTGTATGTAAGCTATCTCCCAAGTGGTAGACTATTGATTGTTCTCAATTTATCTCTCAATTTGATCACCATTATTTTTTTAACTGTCTTCACAGATGTGGAGAATCATCCTGCAAAAAATCTCCAGCATGACACCTCACAAACCAATTTTGACACATTCCATCAGTCACATAATCTCCTCCATACACAGAACGCTTATTTTGATTTTGGTTGCTATTTTACTTTCCTTGAAATAATAAGACAGATATGTTGAAAACCTTCCATGTTTTCACACATTCAATATTAAAATATCACACACAATTCAACAATATTGATAAGTATTTTTAAATACACACTGGTATTACAGCTGTCACAATACAATGCAACAAAATTGTTTCAAATGATGTAAAAGACAGATAATGCTGCTAGAGCCATCTGACAGAAAGCCAGATCAAACTGTTTGGTTAATTTAGTATATTAATGATTAGATTATTATGAGGATAATTCTGAGAAAATGAGATAAGACCGTTTGTAATTTCCAAATGAGGAAGAAAATCAGAACATAACGAAGATTTTTGGAAGTGTTGATTCCTGAATTTCTTAATCACACCATCCATGTATCTGAGTGGATCTCTTCACAGTTATTCACACTGATCCACACTACATTTGACTTTATGCCTAGGCAATTCCCATCTCATGTGGATAAGGTGACAGCATATCCTGGTGCCATATGTAGACAAACAAAAAAAGAAATAGATGAAAGAGGATGGAGATGAAACTTCTGAAATTTACTTCAACTAAGTCTGGGGTGAACATGTTTCTTGCCTTTCTAATTAGAACTATGTGACATGTCTACAGAGCCACAGATTCTGATGGTGAACATAAGAATGAGCCTCCACTGTTGACTATTTTGTATAAAGTCAGACACAACAGCCCTACAAAGGGGAAGTTATATTTAAAGGATTTATTTACTTTCTAAACAACAGATGAAGAAAACTAATGCTCTTCATAGCAATTATCATTTCATTTATTTTATGTTATTTCCCATTGGAGTTTTGATCAAGGCTTTCTTTTTTTATGGTTGGTCAATTTATTTACTTATTTGTTTTTCTATTTTCTTTTTGTAATTGTAATTGCTGTTCAAGTACAGTTTTCTGCCTTTTCCCACATCCCAGGACACCCCTAGCCCTCCCCATCTCCCTCTCATCCCCCCCCTTGT